CACTGGGGATGTGCCCACAACCAAGGTACATACCCTTGACCGGAATCGAACCTGGGACCCTTGAGTCCGCAGGCTGATGCTCTATCCACTGAGCCAAACCGGTTAGGGCTGTTTTTAAAAATAAATAAAGAAAAGAAAACTCCCCGTATCCGTCGCAGACTCGTGGGATTGGAGACTTTCACCGACTCTATTTCTCCGCGCCCCCACTCGGGCTCCGGCTTCCAGCCCCATACGTGTGAGTGCCATTCACCCTAAGGCAGCTGGAAACTCACCTTCCTTTGCCGTTGTTGTTTGAGAACGAAATGACTCTTAGCTTCAGGCCCTCACGGACTCTCCGCCTCCCACCCACCCTGCAGGGCGGCTGCTGGGAATGACAGAAAGAGGCTTTTGCCGGAGGGCAAGGCTCAGGGTTGGCCCTGGGACGTTTTTCTGCACGTGGAGAAGGGACTGGCTCAAGGGAGCCCTCCTGGTTCAAGACCCGGTTTCGCTTTTCAGAGACGCCTTCTCGGTATCCAACGCCTCCGTGCGGGTTGGCTTTCCCCTTCGCTGTGTCTTTCTGTCCTTCCAAACCTCGAGTAACTGAGCAGCACTGCAGACGGGGAGCATGCTGAGTAATTTCACATTTGCGGGGGGAGAAGGGAGGGCACCCCATCCGGGAAGGAAGCCAGCCCAGGGTGGGTGTCCGGGTGATGTTTGCTGGAGGGATGGAGTGAGGTCTAGCAGCGCTCATGCCATGCGGGGATTTCCTTGCTGCACATATTGGAAACGACTTTCGACTTTCATACGTGGAGAAGCGGGGTCCCGGCCGGGTCCTGTGTTTATTATTCTAAGGTCGTCTTTCCCTTCTTTGGTTAGCGTCGCCGTGCATCCAAAAGCTGGAGGACACGTAACGGCCCCCGCGAGGTGTAGTTACATTTATATGCTTCCTTCATACGCATGTACGGATTTTTTTTTAATATATATATTTTATTGATTTTTTACAGAGAGGAAGGGAGAGGGATAGAGAGTTAGAAACATCGATGAGAGAGAAACATCGACCAGCTGCCTCCTGCATACCCCTTACTGGGGATCGAGCCCACAACCCGGGCACGAGCCCTGACCGGGAATCGAACCGGTGACCTCCTGGTCCATAAGTTGGTCAACGCTCAACCCCTGAGCTATGCCGGCCGGGCTCCAGTCGGTGTGTTAACATTCTCTGCCATTCCTGCACTCCAATGGAGCAGCCTCCCAGGTTTCTATTTTTAAAACGAAGCAGCAATTCCCTCTCTTATGTCCGCGCTCCCCGAATGTAAATGAGAAGAGACTCTTTTCAGAAGACTTTGAACCCTGTGGTTAGGAGGCGGCATTGGATATTTTCATATTAAATTTGTAATCGTGTTATTAATTAGATAACCTGTTGATTAGGTGGCTCTCCTTTGTTTTAAGCTGAAGTTTGGGACGGGGGCTATTATATCGAAAACTCAAAACACGTAGCAAAGTCCATCTATTGGATCAAATTCGTTCTTCATTCATTCTTTCTTTTTTAAAATAGATTTTTATTGATTTTAGAGAGGAAGAGAGAAGGAGAGAGAGAAACATCAATGATGGGAGAGAAACATGGATCGGCTGCCTCCTGCACGCCCCCTACTGGGGATCAAGCCCACAACCTGGGCCTGTGCCCTGACCGGGAATCGAACCGTGACCTCCTGGTTCATAGGTCAATGCTCAACCACTGAGCCACGCCAGCCGGGCAGCCGTTAGCATTTCTGTAAGCTAGTTCCGTCATTTATCGACGATGTTTCGGTTAAGTTATTTATTATTTTTAAACTTTAGTGTAGTCCTCAGAAAAGGGATGAGGATGGTGAGTGTACCTTCCTGAGCATATGTCTATATAAAGCATTTAGTATAGTGTCTGACACAAAACACGACTTACTCCGCATCTTCACTGTCATCTCCCAAAGTTACTGTTATACCCAGCCTACTGATGTGAAAAGCAAGGTAGGCCCAGGCCGGGGTGGCTCCGTGGTCGAGCATCGGCCTATGAACCAGGAGGTCACGGGTTCGATTCCCGGTCAGGGCACATGCCTGGGTTGCGGGCTCGATTCCCAGGAGGGGGCGTGCAGGAGGCAGCCCATGAATGATTCTCTCTCATCATTGATGTTTCTCTCTCTCTTCCTCTCTGAAATCAACAAACATATATTAATTTTAAAAAAAAAGCAACATGGGAAAAAATGTAAGGGGCATTCCAAATGCTACATAACCGGTCTGTGGTGGGATTAGATTTTTAAGCCGTGTTCTAATTAGAATCCGGGCACTGAATCCGTGCTCCTTAATTACGCCACGTGGGCTCCTGTTGATGGAATTTTCAGGTGCCGCGCAGCCGGGACAAGCAGTGATTATGTTACATGGCCAATTTGTGTCTAAAAAAGATCTTAGCAAAATGTAATCCCGGGCAAAATATCAAAAGAGGAACTTAATGCCAATAATTGGCGAGCGCTGCGTGCGTTTGGTTGAGAGAAAAAAGAGATCGCTCAAGTACAAGGTGTATGAAGAAATATTTAGGGCTTTTACTTACATACTGGCACAGCCATCGTCCACTGAGCCACACTGGCTGGGCATTTAAAACTCTGGATGGACCGCAACAGACCAATGTTATTACCAGTGTGACCAGCCAACAGTGAATAGTTCCTGTAAGCCCAGTGGTGTGGTTGATCATTGACCCATGAACTGGGAGGTCATGGTTTGATTCCCAGTTGGGGCACATGCCCAGGTTATGAGCTTCATCCCCAGTAGGAGGCGTGCAGGAGGCAGCAGATCCATGATTCTCTCTTGCATCAATGCTTCTCTTTCTCTCTCCCTCTCTCCCTTCCTCTCTCTGAAATCAATAAAATCTTTAAAAAATATATTTACACTAATAAAAGAGAAAAATGCAAATTGACCATACCTTCGCGACCCCCGCCAGCCAATCAGGAGTGAGTATGCAAATTAACCCAACAAAGATGGTGGGTTAATTTGCATACGCAGGCACCGAGCAGCCAGGGGCAGGGCGGAGCGTTT